GATGCACGTTCACGAAGCGCGGTGTGAGCTTTTGGGCCTACTTACATTGTTTTGCATGAGGATGTTGGACTCCATGCAATCCAGGCCTCCATCTTTGAAGCCCGATTCGAGACTGATCAGGTCGTCAATCACTTCATCCATTGGGAACTAAAAAGAAAGCGAGACATCAGAGCGCAACGACGACTGACCGAGAATGCCGGCACCCAAAAGTCGCGCGCTGTCCACCGCCGGAGGAGGGACTTCCCACCAGCTCATCCCATAACAGAAAAATCTGAAGCAAGCGCGCGGCCTTTGTTATGGGGAAAAACATCCTCTGTTCTCAAACTCCCACACGTGAGAGACTCTCCGGTCAGAGATGACAAAGTCTGAAGTTGTCGATGAGCGATGAATGCGAAGAAGTACTTCCGACCGCTGTCGAAAACAAGCCTGACCTCTTATCTCAATCAAAGAATGTGGGAGGAGGACGCCGAGTCATCGCTCGAGAGCAATCGCGGTAATAACCGCCGATCGGTATATTTTGAACGGCGCTGACGGGAAAATGTGTCACGGAGTGCGTTTCTCGGGCGATTGCTCGCGTCGCCCTTTATCCCCGCCGCGGTAATTTCACTTCCTCGCCGTCGGCGGACGAGCGACCGAGCGCTTTCGTTTCTTCCGACGGCGCTCACCTCGCTGTCGTGGTTGGCCATGGCCATAAGGGCGCCGGGGCTGTTGGGGTCGTCGACGTTGCGCATGACGGGCACGGTGGGCAGCGGCTGGCCGGGGCCGTGGGGGTGGGCCGTCGACGAGGCCAACTTGGAGCCCAGCGTCAGGTACTGCTTGACCTGCTGGCTCTGATGGAGGTGGAACTTGGTGTTCTCCAGTTGGCTCTGGACCTGCGGACGGGACCGCCACGTCAAAGTCGGCGTATGTCGCGCAGGTGTCGCGGCGATTGCGAAATGATGATCTCACTCGGGATGCAGAACTATTCGTGAGTCACGGCTCGGTCAGTTGTTTTTTCTTTTTTCTTTTTCCGCAGCCCAACAGCTGGGCTGCATTTTCTCGTAAATTGACTCTGCATTTTTTTTAAAATTCCGTTCCTTTTGGAATTTAAAAAAAAAAAAGAAAAGAAGGGGTTTGATCCCAACAGAATTCAAGTTGACACTCAATCTGGACCAGTTTCTCGTTTCGAGCTGCAAAAGTGCCGACAAACAAATTTTTGGAGTTTTTGATGGTCTTACGTTGGAAGCTCTGGTCGCATCCCGCATCGCGTAGTAGCCGCAGTCAGATAAGTGTGGCATTCTCAAAAATCTTCAGCTCGGGTTTGTTGGCACGGAGCAGCAAGATAAGTTTCGGCATTCGAGCCTGCCGCCGCCGCCGCTGCTCTCCTCTTGCTCTCGTGGCTCCGTGTTGACTCTGTGTCCCTTGCGCTGCCGCGTCGGGGTCCTTCTAAAGGGCCCTAAGTGAACTCATTAGGCCCAAAGCCGGGGGGGGGGAGGCCTTCATGTGGCGGAGCGCGACAATCACTTCAAACGACCGGCTGTCTGATCACCCGGGGTTTGATCACTGCAGGACGTCTGCCTTTAGCGTCTCTCGCTAATTCAGCGGGACCGCCCCTTTCTGTCCGAGCGGCCAATCGGCGTGGCGCTCCCGAAGTCCTCTTCTGCCTGCTCCAGGGGTTGCGGCGGCACAAATGAACCTTGTTCTCCAGTCTGGGTTTTAAATAACTCAACTCATGCCGTTTTTAACCAGCCTTTCTCAATCGCTCGCCGCCGTCAATGCGGACCGCTCAGAACGATCGGTTCCGCCGACGGCGGCGTCAATAAAACCCATTTGGGGGTCTCGGGCTATGATACGCCTGACGATTATTTCCAGAAGTCGTATGTCACCCGAAATGCGTCCTTCAATTCCCGACAATGCCGCTCACTGTTGTAACGCGCCTCTTTTAGCGTACGGTCGCTCAGCTATTTTTAAATGATCTCATCTTATGTGTATTGTAAGCAGCAGTTTGAAAACATCATTGCGACTGTCTGTAGTAGTCCATTCTAAGGTGAAAATTTAAAAAAAATTATATGAACTTAGTTGAACTCCTTTGTCTCAATGCGTAGTCCATTCTAAGCTGAAAATTTAAAAAAAAATTATTATATGAACTTAGTTGAACTCCTTTGTCTCAATGAGTCCAATTTTTCCATGACGGAAACCGGCTAATCAGTGATAAGAATCATTCTGTGCCCGCGTGACCTTTTGACTGGTCGAGTACCAGGCTGATAATTCCGAAGAATTAAACGTTTGCTATCCGTCACATTGATGATGCCATAATGGGGGTTGGGGGCTGGGGGGGGGATAGAATTCTACACATTGTTTGTGTACGACACGCAGGGAAGAATCATCTCCAAATAGCTGACATTTCAGGTCTGTTTGGCGGCTGTTCAGTGCAGAGCCGGATCTACTCTTAGATAGAGGGCTGTTGGCCACCCCAAAATCGTCAACAATTTGCCTTGTCACCTTGAACAGAAAGGTGAGATGAACGAGGGGGATATCAGGACTTTCTTGACTGACTTTAGCGTGTTTCAAAAACTTGAAGAATTTGAAAGTCATGCGGCCCTCCAACGCAAAAGTTTGGACACCCCTGCCGTCCTGGATAATCCCGCTCCCATCTGCTCCCGTAAACATTTTTTCCCGTATAGTCCCAATGCCACGATTAAAGTTCAAGTTGATCAAATATCCCCCTTGAGAAAAACACTCGTTGCTGGTATTACCACAGATGGCCCTCTTGTCGGTTTGCAGAACAAATAGAACACAAAAGTATTTGGTTCCTCACTGGCCCGCAAACAGAGTTCCTTAAATTGGCACACAGACGAGAAGTTTCAGTTTCCGGAAGTCAAAGGAAAGCGTTTGATTGATTTTTGTTTTTACCCAAAACACAAAATCAATGGGGCCTCCTTCGGCGGCATCCGCCTCACTCGCCGCGATATTCATCTTGTCCATTTTATCTCCCTCAACGAGACGCCGATTGTTAGTCAATCTATTTTCTTTTTCCGACCGCCACGCCAAAGCTGCTGCGCGTGCACACACACACACTCGCGCGCGCCTGTGTGTGTGCGTGTGTGTGCGTGTGTGTGTGTGTGAGAGCGTCTTCGCCGCGATATTCATCTCCCTCAACGAGACGCCGATTTTTAGTCAATCTATTTTCTTTTTCTGACGGCCACGCCAAAGCTGCTGCGCATGCACACACATACACTCGCACGCGCCTGTGTGTGTGTGTGTGTGTGTGTGTGTGTGTGTGTGTGTGTGTGTGTGTGTGTGTGTGTGTGTGCTCACTGTTCTGGTTTGCCGTTGCCATTTTCGCTACTGTAAAACGACGGGAGATGCGCTTGTTATCCACTTAAAGGAATCTGATTAGATTGGAGAGGTTATGGCGCTTCAGTCACCGAAACTGAACTCCACAATGGTGCGTCTGTGCAAGTGTGAAGAGGCCATGCCAGAAGATTATCAATGGCCCTACACACACATGCACGCACACTCGCACGCATGCACACACGCTCACGGAGACAGCAATGGGAGAAGAATTCAATCCATCCTGGCCCGAGTTTGGGAATTTTTTTTTTTCTCCCCCACAATTGTTTGGTTTGAGACACTTGAGTGTTTCTCTTGGGGGATGCTGAGCTGTGTTTGGCACCTGCTGCAACAATCCGCCCACTGTTTGAGGCTGCTTGAAGGCGCACCTCAGATATTGGCGTCAGTCACTAACGTGCATTGGGCGGTCCATAGTTGGGTGTTTTTTTTGGGGGGGGGGTATTTTATTTATTTGTTTATTTATTTTGCATTCGTTGGGGTTTTTTTCAGCCAAAAGACAACCCAGACAACACGATTAAAACGGAGGGGGGGGGCGGGGCAAGCAATGCAAAACTCGGTCACGGCCTGACTGGAATGTCGCAAAGCTCGGGGGAAAATTAGACTCAGAAGAATAATCTGGTTTAAAAAAAAAAAAAAGATCCGAATTTCTCTCTGTCCGTCCGTCCATCCGTCGACTGAGGTGAAATCAAGTAACTGCTGCTCTCAAAGGCCAACGCACATGCTGATTGTAGCCTCCCCCCCACCCCAAAAAAGTGGTTGTGCAACAAAGTTTCAGTCTTGCTCAAGTTCTCGTTTCACTTCAGAAAAAGAAAAAAAAAATCCAGCTGCTTATGAAAGACGGGCCGACGTGAACGCGCCGTGGATAAACCCGTTAGGGCAGGGGCGTCCACACGTGTTTCTATCACGAGCGACAGACAGCATCGTTGTTTTTGTTGCCCTCAGAGGGCCGCTTCCGAGCGCATCATCGTTATGGGCGTAGCGGAATGCGCAAAAAGAAAAAAAGACACTTCGCATTTGCTGCAGTGAGGGAACCAAACGCAAAGCACAACTGCATGGCGTTGCAATCAAGTAGCCAATCAATGAGAGCTTGGTCATTGAAGTGATTTCGAGTACCATCACCGACAAAAATACACATTCATCATTTGTTCTCTCTTTTTAAGACGTGAACATTCCGGTTAACAGTCCAAAATATGATTTTAGAGGCTAAGCTGCAGTGCATTTGGAGTAGAAATGTGGCCAAAGCTTACCTAATATGTGGCACGTTGTAGCCGATTGGTTCGTTCGTCAATAAATAAATAAATGCACACATAAATAATCAGAATATGAAGTCATGTACAGTTACAAGCCGAATAATCATGTCACATTAGCGCATGACTGATGTTGATTGCGATATTTTTAAATCAGATAACCGATTAATCGTCTGATTAATATCTATATCGTCCTTCGTGCTTACAACAATCAAGACGTGCATTACAGGCAGAACATTGGACAATGCTTTGCCCTTTAGTATTTGTTTAACTTGAAACTACTCAGCTGAATGTTTTTTTTTTTTTCCCCGATTTTGGGCAGGAAAATGTTTGAGTGTCATTAAATCAGCCAGCCAAGTCATCCGTCAGGCCCGAATTAAAACGCCGCGTTTCAATGGCATCACCAGTAGGGGTGTGCATCACGCCACAAATAGGACGCTTCGATCCGATTCTCAATGCACGGCGTACGATACGATTCAAGGATGTCAAAGTTTTCAACGGTCACCATCCGGTTCGATCCCGCGGGACCGCGATTTGCTTCGATACGGTCTGGCTTACAGATCTCCGAGAAGGCGATTTTTGAGACATATCTGGACGCATGCTGTGCAGTGCCATTCAAGGATGTGCTGATTTTTTTCCGATCTGGCCCCTGGGCCTTGAGTTTGCGACGTGAGCTGAAGGAGGTTAGGATTCATTTCCGTGCGATGAGTCAGGCGTCGTTGACTTTACCTTAAAAGCGGACAAGCCGGTCTCGTTTCTACTGAAGGTGTGAGCCGCGAACGCAAGAGTGAGCGGGATTTCGCGACCCCCCCTCACCCCCTCCCATCCCCACGCACTTGCGCCGTCCTACCTGCAGCAGCTGAATCTCCGTCAGAGTCACCACTTTGACCACGCAACGTCGGCTCATGGCGCCCGCGGACTCTCCCATCGCGGGGGGTTGGAAAAGCGCAAATCTCGGGAGGGAGCCGATCTCTCGGGGCTTAGCGGGCGAGAGAGAGAAGAGGAAGAAGAAGACGAGTACCCGCAGTCTCCTTCCTGAGCTTTGCAGAAATATCAGCGAGGAAACGAAGGCATGACACATCAGCTTATTTGGGGAGCTAAACGGGCCGCTTCTTCCTCTGCGCGCGCGCGCGCGTTTGTGTATGTTAGAGGAAAAACCTGACAGAAGCAGAACCAGTGACGGCGGTTGGGCCTGCGTGCGAGCGAGCGACATGCTAATAAGTTGCTTCTGCGTGCACACGGCCACACTTTTCCTTCCTGCAGAAAATTCAGCACATTCTGCCAGGTTATCTCCATGACAGCCGCTTCCCTTGTTGGGCCTTTCTTTTTTTTTTTTTTGTTCCCTAGCAGCCAAACAACTGCCATTGGAAGTCGTACACGCTTCCACGAAAAAAAACGTAACACTCATACGTTGGAAATTTACCTCTCACACACTTCAAGAATGTTTGCTCATTGACCCCCAAAACCCATTTGACAAAAAAATATATATATTTGTCATTTCTCTCTACTCAGTGAAACGATTCCACTTGAACATTTGGATTGTTCTCCAAACCACATTCTCACGAATGTGGTTCAGTCCAATCCGAACAGTTGGCGCTTTTGAAAGCCGCGACACGTTTTAGTCCGCAGTGAGCTAATGCGCTATGTCTGCGACCGGCTGCATTTGCTCCACACACGGAGAAGCTCATTAAAGCCTCCATGCGCGTCCATCGCAGCATTATGTTAGCCGCCGTGACCAAAGGTCGCCATCTGAGGCTCGTGTTTTCCCTCACGTGTCCACGTGACCGCCGATCGGCGCCTGACGCTTGCTCACGTTTTCTTGGAGTAAGGCCGATTTGTTGCCGTACCCTTCAATTGGAGGCACAATCGGGATTTTAGTCAGCCCGTTAGAACGTGCCCGACGAGTCATAAATAGCTACCGCTAGCCACCCCTACCCCCCACCCCTTTGTCTGTTGGACTTCCCTTTTGGCTTTTATTAGCCATCCAAACTCAATCGCCAAACGATTGCTCATTTTGCCCATCGTCGCCGCGCTTTTCCACGTCTCGCCGTTGTATCGCAATGCGTTATCGCGCCCGGTGAAAATCCCAAGTCCTTGGCGGGCGTTGGGGAGCCACAAGTGCTCACCTTTGTTAGTGGCCCGGCACACGCGCCATGTTTAAAACATCAGGCGCTGCTCGTAACGGCCGGCCCGGCTTCTGAGGCCTTCGCATCAAAGTGCGGCTCGCACATCTGAGGACTGTTTTATCATCGCTCGAAAAGGAATGCGTAATGGACACGCGGCGCCGCTGCACTTCTAATGATGCCCGTATGAATTAAATATCGCAGACGTTTTAGGCGGATTACATGCAGGGGGAACTGTACGCGCTTATGGCTAATATCCCAATCAGGAGAACGCCAACAGGTTTGTCGACTCATCGTAACTTTTAACCCTCGAATTTTGTCGCATTGTGGGAACTGA